TGTTATACAAGAAAATGTTTTCCCATAGATTTCACAAATTTATGTTTGTTAAAAAATATAGAACAAAACGGCAGACTAAAACAAAGTTCTCATTAAAAAAAGATATATCTTTTTTATCTAATATTTTACATAATTGTTTCTTTAATAGGGAAAATTTTAAAAATGTGTATTAAAAGTATGTTGTCATATTTAAATACAATTTATTTCTTTATTGCTCTTAGTTATGAACTATAGAGGAACTGCTATCTCAATAAATCTTCGTAAATTTTTGACAGATCTATAGATTGACACATTGTATCATACTATTTTTAATCAAATCGATTTTCCAATTTTTTTTGCGAGATGAACTATATAATAACTAAAATTTCAATGAGTCTAGAAGAAAAAAAAGTCGATGTAAAGTTGTTATAAGAAACGAGGGACTCCAATGCCTGGCACCAAAGTTCCACTGCCGATTGCATTCGGGCATCGAAATCTCCAACACTAGTTCAATTTGCCACTAAGCTTTTTTTAATTGTCAATTAAAACTGAGATGATTCGATCTTCTTTATGAGAGATTCCAAGGCTTCTCATAAGGAGTCCATTAAACATACAGCATCACTTTACTTTCTCAAAAGTCTATGTACGATAATTTTATCAAATTATTTAATGTGAATTTTATTTTATCAAAAATTCAATAGTTAACAGCTTGATTACAGCTCAGGTAATCGCATTATAACACTTAATTATGACACTTCATAAATTTATTAATTTCTATGTTTATTCAGATACATTTCTTTATATCATTCAACTATTACATATATCAGAAATGACTATATAATTATCGATGAGAATATATGAAATTATACAATAACAAAAGTTAGTTTCATTTAATATTTTCACTTGATGTACGCTCTTCGTTAAATGTCAACCGTTATCTAATTCAAGGGATTGTTTTTTTTAATTGTCGATAAAACAATCGAATTCCATCAATATTTATATAACGAAGGGGGAGAAATGATAATGAATATAATTGTCCTCTGAAAAATAATTAGACTATAAGGAACAATTCTGGCACGCGCATGCTTTCATTCTATATAAACGGGATCACAGAAATATTCGATAGATATTTAATTAATTATTTAATTAACGCAAACCAGTATGCAAATCTGCATGAGTAATTAAACAATCGAACGTATAAAATTAAATTTGCATTTGGTTTGATTCAATATCATCATCGGTTGCATAAACTATTGCGCCACGCAATGATTATATTCACGAAACCATTGTTTATTTCGTAGCTATACTATGTATTCGGGAGAGCGTAATTTGCGTCAGCATCAATATTTACTTTTCGCGAAAACTTTGCGCGTCCATAAAATGTTGATTGAAAAATTCTTCCATAATTGTTTCCATGTGCCCTCTCTTAATTTCATCCCCTATACGTCATTCCCCTTTCTCTGTCTCTCCAACGTGTTCTTCGCGCGTATTGCACACTCTTCGGTAATATGACAAAGTACAACGCTCGCTCATATCGATATCGAAGAGAAACGCGACACGGGGGTGGGATTGGTTGCGCGTCCGATCGGGAATTTTGCTCTCGACCCGCTCTCGAAACACGCTCGCGAAATATCATCGACGTCTGTGCCCCGCGGGTCTGCCACGTCATTGGTCGTCGAAAATTAACATGCGAACGACCAGGAAATATCGCGCGAATAAAAAACCGGACGAAATGGGGAGAGAGAGCAACGGGGTTGGACAGATGGAGGGGAACGAAAATAAAAATCGCGGAGGGTGCGTACTTTTTTTTTTTTTTTTTTTTTTTTTTTTGCTTCCTACCTTGTTTGATTCTAGGAGCTATTCTGGTTCCGCGTATCTCACTTTGCTTCTGTACGCGAAATCGTGTCTATCATTCTTGACGTTTCTTAGTTTAGCGTGTAAGAATTATATTCGATTAAGCGTTTTAATTGCGTCATGCATGTATTTCTTATCGCATTTCACATCTTCATTCGCAACATTATTATGTTGCGACACTCGTTACGTATTAAACTCTCAATTAATCACGACTGCTTTATCCTTCTGCGTAATTGCAGGAAATGTTTGTAATATATAATTGTAGTCAATATGGTTTTTCTGAATATATGTTTTTAGTTGAAACACTAACATTATACCTTTTTTTTTTGTTTCAGGTAAGTCGATAATTTAAATTAATCGCCATCTTCATCCGGTGAGTGATTTATATATAATTTTCCTATTGCCTGCACGTGTGTTCTTTAATTTATTCGCGGCATTGCGTTGGAAATGCAATGGGAAATTGTTCTAATTTATATGGACGATGCTACGTGCTAATCGATCACTGCAGCATCATTTGTCTGTAATCCTCGTAAGCCTGGCGTGTTAACATCATGTCGTATCAGGTTATACATAACATGCGCGATTGAACAATTGTCGGTTTAATCCTTTGTGATGAGACAGAACATCGCTGCAATCGGCGTAAATATCGTATATATTCGAAATACTCTCTCATCGTAGAAAAAACTTGAAAATATACGCTGTTTTTCCGCAGAAATTATTCATTCCCTGCGTCGAATTCGGGACATATTTATACATACGCTGATGCGTCTCCGTATGTACATATAAAAACGTATAAAAATCCAACCGAAAAATTTAAGCTTAAAATACATGAATTTTGCTTACATAAAACAACAAGCAAATATCTCTTATCTTAATTTTCAAAAATTATTATTGCAACGTTCGCATTGAAAAGCAGGTTTTGCATAAGTTTCATAAATTTTCTCATCCTTACGAATATATTTGACTAAAATGACCCTTTGTGTCCTCGTAAATATTCCTTCAGCGGTATCGATTTTCCCTCGCTGTATTATAATTTACGAACCTTAGGCACACTTGCCCAGCTCATCAAAGTGTAAGATCAGCGTTTTATCGGGTAGGAATATATTAGAAGAACGACCAGCCGGAAAACGGTCCATTAATAACGCAGGGTGGACACGTTGCGTTTGACTCTGCAGCCGAGCGCGGAGCTCTTTGACGTTGCTTATCGGCGATGGCGGTGACTGGGCTTCGGGGCAAGTAATCGGCGATACAAAATGGAAAACGCTGATAATTTAAGCGGCCTCGCGGATCGGGGCGAGAGAGAGAGAGAGCGGAGCGAGAGAAACTGGCCCGGGATATAATCGTTATTTTATTCGTTGTTGCAGTGCAGCCGATGCACAAAGTTTTCATAAACGTTGCTCGTGGGCACGTTGAACGCGCGCGCTTCTCTCTCTTCCGCTTCCTCTCTCGCTCGCTGCATGCGGCAGACAACGGTTAATCAATGGGCTTCAAGCGCAGACTCGCATCCCGGGATCTTTCCTGATGGACAGCGGCAACAGCAGCAACAACACGCGCGCATTCGCCTCTCTCCCTTTCGGCACAGAGGGAGGGAGGGAAAAGAGAAAGAGTGAAATAAAAAAGAGAAGGAACATCGAGAATTAGGTGGTGGAGGGTTGGACTAGAACGAAAGAGAGCGAGAGCGCCCCGGGCGCATAAAACTAGCGAACAATTTAAACTCCCCTTTCAAGTCGCGGCTTTGTTTATGCGAACGAAAATAATTCTTCCGCGTGTCTGTCTTTCGCCAGTCGCGAAAAATAGCCAGGTATACTGCAGCCTGAACACCAACGGTGTTCTCGGAATCGGTTCTTTACATCGAGAATCAATTAGTTATCTCTTTGAGGGTTGCACATTATTTTCAGTAATCTTTGTGGCAGTATAAATTGGAAAATATTCTAGTCAAAATTTCTTTCATTGCGATTAATTATTTCGATTTATTATTAATTGTTTTGACTTTTGCGAACTTCCCGTATCTCAGTATAAGGGTGTAAGGAGTATAAGGGGTATAAAAGTGATACCGCGAAGTGACATTACATTCGAGGAGCGCAATCGATAAGGAAGCCGAGACAAACGGGAGCATTCCTCGTCTTCGCGAAGTTAGTCTCACGAGTCGCGCGGTCTCTCGGTTCTACTGTCAAGCAAGAGAATTACTTTCGAACTCACAGACCGATAAAACAGACCTTCTCATTCGCGCGATCGTCAACTCCATCCTCGCGCGGATCTAAAAACTTTCCGCGCTCGTAAACGAGCCACCCGGTTTTACGGTTCATTTGCATCCCTCTTTAAAAGTGACGTCAAAAGAGTCTCGTCATTAAGGGCGGAATTTTTGAAAAATTGTGACAGATGTGATCAATCATCTCGCTTATTAAATAAAATATTACTGCTTTTTATTTTCCAAAGCTTTATTTTATTCGTTTCTCGAATTATAAAAATATCGTGCGCTTGTCAGGGGATGTTTGCGATGTTGAATTCACGTCATATCAATCTATTGATATGCCATTTTTTCAACTTGATTTCGAAAAAAAAAAACTCAAGTCGATGTTTAGAACGCATTTCCAGACATGTCGAATGACCCACTGAAACGAGCTCGTCCGCAAAATTGAACTAATCCGGGAAACCACATTGCGCACACGTACTGCACTTGCACGGAATAAGGGAGGGAAGAAAAATGCAAGAAAAGGGGCGGGAAGGAAGGGGCGAAACTCCCGGCGAAATTGGATCCCTGGAAAGTGGTTCGTGCAGGCCCACCTGATTACCTGATTTCGTTGATGGATTCTTAGACTCCGTCGGTGAGCACCTTCACCTTACGGTCCGCGTTCTTCTCGCTTTGCCAATCCACCTTCCAGGACAATAACTCTGAGCGCTCTCCCAATACCGATCGATCTTTTTTATGGCCGTTTTGAATAAACGATTTCGTACATCCGTGCAAAGTGAAGATTGCGTATGCTAGTCTGCGAATCGCGTTTGCCAGACTCGCTCGTAAGATTGTGTATAATCGAGATATAAATCAAGGCGAAAACTTTTCGAGGAGTAGAGCAGTCATTTTTAATTAATATTTCGCGCGATTACAAAAATAAAAAAAGTCGTTCTAATAATAAATATCGTGATATTTTTATATGATTTATAATACATCCGTGTAAACTGAAGATTGCATATGCTAGTCTGCGCATCGCGTTTGCCAGACTCGCTCGTAAGATTGTGTATAATCGAAATATAAATCGAGGCGAAAACTTTTCGAGGAGTAGAGCAGTCATTTTTAATTAATATTTCGCGCGATTACAAAAATAAAAAATTCTAATAATAAATATCGTGATATTTTCATACGATTTATAATACACCAGATATTTTCTCGAGCGACGTGCGACAATTAATGATTATTTAATTGTGAGGACGTCTACGGATGTACATACGCAGTATGAAAAATGCCGGCCGCGCAATTCGAAACGAATCTAATAGAAGAGGAAAGAGAAGAGAGAGGCGGAGGAGATAAAATAAAATTGAAACAGACACAGAGACAAAACCTCGAAACATACCATCGCGCCGCACTAACTCAGTTTGTGGAAAAAATTTTTTCTGATACAAAACCAATTATTTCGCGAAATGCAACTTGCGGTTCATTTAACGCAACATAGATATCTGATATTTTATATAAAATTCTTCATACAATGTATAGGAGATTGAATCGGTTGTGACTCGTCGCTAACGTTATCAAATTAATATAATTGGCAACTTTTTTTTAACAATTCTCAATCTATATAAAAATGAAGACGCTCTCAGTCTGTGGAAAAACTATATAATATTGTCTTAACGCATTTTTTTCCTTCATCGATTTTCTTATCACGTCTAAATTTTAAGTTTGAAGAAGTGATTATGACACGTTTATTGTCTCATCAGCGCGTAAAATACCGTATTTAATAATTTGTTTAAAGAAATAATTTTTTTTTCCATTTTTGTCTTAGAAATAAAATTGTTCGTCAAATGCGTGCATAATAATTAAAAAAACGCCAATCATTTCGTTCGCCTTTAGGACACATCTTTCAATAGCGCAGATTTTAAACGCTGGAAATGAACTGAATTGAATTTCGTTTCAAATTAGACTATATCGCTACGCGTCCTTTTTTATTATTGCTTTCGCGTCAATGATTGTGGTTGACGCGACACGTAAATCGAGTTAAATGTGATTTTACCCACGTTGTCTGAAACCGCGATTACAGATAAAAATCGATCAAATCCGCTGTCAATTAATAACGCATATTTAATCGCGCTATGTATAAACCGCGAACCGAACGAATAAGGTATTCTTCCCTCCTTTCTTATAATCAAATTAAGTGCGACTGTTCAACTTTTCGGCTTAAATCCCGCCACTTGTTTAAGAATTAATCTTTAGTTTTACTGAAATTGTCTCTCCGTTAACTGTTTCTCATTAATAAATTGGCAAAGGTCGGCATCTCTCATTATAAATACACCCTGTCAAAAAGTTTTTGAACTCATTTACCGTAACTTCCTTCTGGAAAAGCTTCTTCTCTTATATTAAATAAAAATTTCAGTAATTGCATTCTTGCATAACGTCCAGGAGTTTATGAAAATTACATTCCTCGTTGGATATCAAAGAATTGAAGATAACTAATTATCCATTAAGAGTTCTAGAAGAAAACCTTTTTTAATCGCACATTTTTCCGTCATCGATTGCGCTTATTAGAATTTTGATAAAAACATGGAATTTTTTTATTATTCATTGATTGGTTTTTTTTGACACAAAATTACTAACAAGTTTGTAGTGCTACGGAATAAAATTAGCATGTAATGCGCTTAGTAGTAGACAAGTATGATTTAACTCTATTATATACAAGGCGCGAAGATATTAGGTAAAGGCACATGTGTTGTTCATTCCACTGCAAAAAGCGCTTACAACAAACGTTACAAACGCGAACGCGACGTTAAACACAAAATCATACGCATGTACGCTCGCTCGTTCACAATCGCAACAATTAATTAACACTACGAAAGTCAAGCGTACTCGAGACACGAGGGTTGATTGTCTCGAGGATGATTATTATCTACCGGTTTTACTACACGATGAAGACGAAGAAATAAAAAGAATTAAAAAATCGCAGCCCGCAATTTTAACTAAATTTGAGCATTATGCTCGTTTTATTAGTCATATAGCGAGAATTCGTCGCGCGACAATAATTTTTCAGAACTCTACGAAACGCAAATTGCAACAATATCGCACAACATGCCATTACTAATTGCCGGCAAGCTTGCCGTTGTCGTTCTTCGCTCGGGCATCACAATCAAAAAGTGTACATACAATTGTATTATCGGCTATTGATTTCGGGCAGCATCAACTTTTACGCCCTCTCGATATCGCACACGCGCAAAATGATTCTCCTTTTGACGCAGTTTGAAACAGACACCAAAATTTATATTGTCGCAAAAATTCGATATTTTGCAAAACAATACAATTTTTATATTGTTCAACGATTACTCGAATTAAATAATTCCTTTCCTATATTTTTCTTAATATACGTGTATATGTAAAAAATAAATTTACACTGTTTGCGCTGTGAATCGTTGGATGAATAATATAAGTTATAACAATAAATCGTAATATTTTTGTGAAGTTGTGAAAAGCGAATTTTTTTACAGCATATAATAACATTTCTATATAATAACGTGTTTTGTCATAATTGTGTATAAAAAGTAATATATAGAACTATCAAATTTTTATTCATTTGTAGTCATCATTATTTCATTCAACGATTCATATAACAATATTAACAAGTTGATAATATTTTCGGTTAAAAATGCTTTGTGTGTTTGCAATCGGAATAATTTTTACAGAAACATTTTAACAATATTTTGTAGCACACAATTTAGCGTATAAGAACTCATTTCTGACAATATACAACGAAAACTACCGACTTAATCTCCAAGCTTAAAGAGTGATTGAACTTTGTCAAGATTGATCTATTTCTAGATTAACATAATTAGCTACGTCGCGTCCGAATTTGATGATTGATCACGACGGACGTGATTGGTTGATTTTTACGCAAGTGTGTCGATGGCACGTGGCTCTCGTACTTCCGTCATAACGATCGATTCCCGATGTTTCTTATCCACCGACGAGACGCGCGATAGAGAAACGTCGATGACATTCGTTTGGTAAAAACGCCGGCAGAGAGAAAAGAGCTGTAGCTCAGACGGGATCTCGTCAACGATTAAGAAACCGTATTGAGGATCGTATCGAGATGTGGGTGTGGAAAGGTGAACGCAAACAAAAGACCACCTCCGGTTCCTGTCTTATTATATTGACACAGCGCTGCTCAGCATCCTCCTGGTTTTACTCGAAGCTAGTTTTTGCTGGTCGCTTCGATATTCATTGGACAAAGATCGATCTCCTCCCGATAATCCCCCGATTCGGAATGTGACTCGAGTGACTCGCGACGATCTTTCGATATCCGTGAAATTATTCGAACGATATTGTCCCGGTTAAACGCGCCGGCGTGTTTTCCTCGCGGCCGATGATTATTTCGTCTGGGATGGTCTCGAATTCACGTTTCCTGTGAAAGTATTTCCGCAGTCGTGATAGAGCCCAGGCACAAGACTCACACTGGCTTGTCGATCAGCGGTATAATGGAATAATTAAGTGACTACAATATCGGTTCTCTCTCTCTCTTTCTCTCGATTTTAAAGAGGATAAAAGGATACCTCGCGTGCATTTGCAAGACTCGCGGCGCTTTTCGCATATTATTTCCGCTTGACACGTTTCGAGGCGCGTATCGCGTGTTCCGCCTCTTCATTTCCTACGCACGAAGATATTCTCCAGGAGCTCCTTCGTGATCAGTCGATGAGGCCTGGTCGGACTCTCGGTAGGCGTACCGTAAAGTCGGCTGTTGATGGCGTAGAGCTTCGGACTGAGCTCGCATCTCACGTTGAACCACCAGTCGCAGACGAATACCGCCTGGCTGAATTGCGTGCCGTTCGGGCAGAGAAACGTTGCCTGTCGGCCGTCTATGTCGCAATAATGCCACGCCTGGCATCGCGTCTCCACGTCGGCGAAGAAGCCGGGGAAGGACTGGTCGTCGCAGTAGAAATTCGTGTAGGGCACCTTCCCCAACACCGGATAATCCGTGCCTGGTCGACCTGCAATCGCAATCAAGTACCGTAAGTCTTTATCGCGTTGAGAAAGATTGATTGAGAGAATAAGAATAAGATACAGATCGAGAGAGAGAATATTCTCTTATAATTTACATCACATGGGACATATATTCATGAGACAATAGGTATTGGAAGAATTTTATGTTTCTTTCTGATTAATATTTACTACAATAAGATGTAGAAAATATATTCCATTAATTATACTATGTATAGTAATATTTTTTATTGTGGTAAATATTATTTAATCAGAGAAACTCTTATACAATTCTTCCAATCACCATGATTTTCAGGGTAAATTCTAAGAGAAAATTCTCTCCGTGTGTAAAATGACAAATGGCTCTGAAGAAACATTGCTGCAATATAACACGAGAAATCGTGTCGTTATATAAACTTCTCTCCAAATTGTTTTCTCTGCACTGTTCTTTTATTAATTTTAATCAAAATATTCATTTTAATCAAAATATAGTTGATTAATCCAAATTACGGACAATATTTTAACCATGCGTGGCTGAAGCGATCTCTTCGAACATTCAAATATGTTTGATCATCCCGCTTGATATCGTTCGATCGCACATTCGAGGCCTTAAATAATTCACGGATTATTCTGGCTGTAATTTCAGCGCTTACGGATTCCCTTTGCGTAAAATCCGCAAAGCGGTGAGCGATTTGGACGAATTAACTGCTTAAATGAGCGGAGGGGTTAAACGAGTCGGTGTGCACCAGAGCGGTTTGTCTCTCTCTTTTTTTCTTTTTTTTTCTTTTTTTTTTCTTTTTTACTTTTGTTTCTATCTCTTTGCAATCGCAACCATTTGAATCTCATTACAAGCTCGTACTTTTTCGCATAGCTTTATTCGGACAATCGTGTGATACGATTGTGTATCAAAAGTTAAAAAATTTATAAATATTATTTCTGATAATTTTGATGTTTTCCAAGGAAATAAAACTTCAAAAAAAAAAAAATTAGACAATTTTGAGTGTCTAATAATTAATTTTTATACACAAAAGAAATCGAGTTTCGTCCTTTTAATTTTATTAGATTTTCGCGGTCTGTGCTCGAATGCCAAAATATAATTTCGCATTCGCTAAACTGGTAGGTACATCTCTAATTTAATATCGTAAGTGTAAACAAGTAATTCTAGAACCAGAGAGAAATCGCGATCAAAGGAGGTGAAAACAAAAGTTTGACAACTTGAAACGGTTTGCGGTTGAGAGGTTCGTAGGCGCATTAAAGCGACCGTTAAAAGAGCTCCAAGAAAGTGCCCTCGGGATCTTCCATCCCCATTGCACTTTTCCTCGCCCTCGTCGCGTCTCTCCCTCTCTATCTTCTCAGGTTCAACGGAAAACGAAATAATTAGACCGACACGGTGCGCGAGCACACCTAACGAAACGGGTGAATAGCTCGAGAACGAGAATACGTTCGACGGTGTGTTGTTGTCGTGGATTCTACCGAAGTTATAATTACGCGGACCCAATTACTATAAAGGTGAGAGAGAAGGGAACGAGAGAGGAAGCGAGACAACGAGCGTTTATTCCGTGTAGCGGAATCTCTTCCGCTGACAAAACAGGTCGGACAAGCGGCACAAACTGCGAATTTCGTATGGATGTCGGTGCGATACGGTCGAGTTTATGCGACCGCGTCTCTCGTGGAAGGTGTGCACGTACTGTATACGTTCCCGGGGTGTTGTGCGCGCGTATACAGACCGGTCCATTTCGTCGCATCGGTATTCCTGCAACGCACTCGAGACCGAGTCTGGCCAATCCGCTGTTTTCAGCTAACTTCAACGAGTCTCCGTCGAGCGATATCGACGCGAAAATTTCTTGACTCGCTGGAAAGCCAAAAGGACGATACAAATGTGTAAAGCAAATAATAAGCGTGTCAAGTAATACATAGGATTCTTATATTATTTTAATTTTACATGTGCGATGCACATTTCTATAAATCTTTAAAAGAAAGTTAAAACTACCAAGTCCAACAGAACTTCATATTTATGTTCTGTCGTTTGAAATATGTGATCAGTTTTAATTAATTTCTTGTAGAAACAGTTCGCAGTTATAAATAGTTGAATCTCGTTTAGTAAATATCATCTTTGCAATATAAATTCATATAAAACGAAATTAAAATCCATCATAAATATTTTTAGCATTATTTATTTAATATAATTTTGAAACAGATTTTAATTAAAGGACATGTTGGAATTTATTCGGCATGATTCCATTATAAATCTACTTTGTGTGAAATATCTCTCATATTGTTTCTCTCTCTCTCTCTTTCTCTCTACATTCTTCTTGCTAGGAACGTCTCGTTCCGCCTTCATTGCACGCTCTCACGAACGATTCAGTATTCTTGCCTGGCAAAACTAAGCTTGTCGCCCGATGAGATTCGAATAGCTAGCTAGCCAGAGACATGAAGGAGTAGACGGTGATGGTGTGAGAGAAAGAGAGATGGAGAAATTGGGTGGGACTGGAAGTGGAGAGACGAAGTTGTTCGCGATCCGGGGACAAAACAGGATGCTATATTGACGCGAAATTATTTAGACAGAAATACTCGCGCTGGAAACAAAACCGAGCGATGTTCTTGTAATTGCTAAGTAGCTCTTTCGTGTAAAATTGCAGAATTATGTGCATTGCAAAATAACTCTCTTAGAGGTATAAAAAATATTTATATGAAAATAAGGAAAACTTTTATATCAATATATTTTAATTTGCCATCATTTTTATAATTATTACACTTGTATGACGAAATATCGGATGATTTTTGATGTTTGAAGCAAAGATGATCTATTCACAATGTTGTGCACAATTATTCTGTGGCACTCTTTTACAGACGATTTCAAATACAGCAATTAAATTACGATATAAAATTTTAAAAAGATTGACATTGTCTACTTAGGACGCACGATCTCGTAGAGTTAACGAAGAAACTCTCTTAATAAGCGTCGACCTCGTTTTCAACTTTCTTCGCCAATCGGAGAAAACGCTGGATCACTAGTGCTATCTCTATCGAGTACTTTTTAGCATTACTTTAAGGGAACCGTGCGGGCTCAGCAATTCTGTTCTTGCGAATCTTACGCATTTGGCACGTGGCCAAAATCTCTCCGGGTCTTGTTATCTTTGCCGTCGAGAGAATGGAATGGCGTGTTTCTCCTCTCTCGCGTGTAATCTCATAACATTTCACGTCTTCCCTTCCTTCGCGAGTTAAAATACGAATCCTTAAAATCAAGACTCGGACGCGGATCACAAAGCTAAATGTCGCCGAACTGTTGGATCCTTGCCGGATCCTTTCCTGTGCCTCGCGCATTTTACTTAACTTGTCTGAAGAACTTCCTTATTGAGCGTCGCGTTTCTGGCTGACTGACCCGGAGCTTTGAACAAATCGGGAGGCGGGAAAATGTCTTTTACAGAAACGCATTTGTCGGTATTAATATTTGTGGATGAATAATTTTTTGATATATACCTTGTTTTAAAGGGAAATAATTTGTGTCGCGAAATTAAATTATTTTTATTACATTATTTTGATACGACCGATTATTTAGCCCGATGACGTTTCAAACGAGAAACGCTCCCGCTCGTCGTTTGACGGCGCGCGATCTCCTTTTGCGACTCGAGTTGTATACGAATGCGCGTATTGCAGAGTCGATATTCTTTACGTGACGACTCGCCGGATGTATTGGGAAAACGCAATGAAAAGTTCACGTTAGAGACCTGGATCGCGCGCCGAGAAACTTCTGTCTTGAATTACTGAGGCAGAATAAATAAGCAAAACGGGATGTACGCGAATCAAAGGATCCTCCCTCCCTCTCTATCTCTCCTCTCATCTTTTCCTCTCTGGCTCTGCCTTTCTTCGCTTCTTTCATCGTGTAGGAACTCTTTAACGAGTACCAACGATAATAGCTAAACCCCTCTTTTCCTCTTCCGTGTCTCTGCGAAGGTTTCTCATTCACGTTATTATTATTATCGCCGGCAATTATTATAAAGACATCGAGAAGGATTATATCTTCCCTTTCCTCAACTTTCTCTCGATCAACGAGTCATTCGCGAAAGAGACGCGATACGATCTTTTTTTTGTCTAATATCGTCGCAGAGCGTAAAGAGACGCAAAAATTGCGGAACCCCAAAAAGGGCTCCTACATTCTTGCGACGCGAGACGAAAAGACTAGACGTTAGATAAAGAGTGTCGCGACGGTAGTTTGCATTAAGATCGTAAAGCCGCATCATCGGGACGACGTGAAGCAGTCGATCAGGTTGATTAACCCTTTCGCGCGAGCCACAAGACATGTAATTACTTAACGACTTATTCACGCGATCATGAATTCAAAGTTGCACGGCGCCAGCGCTCTTTCTACACCTATAGCACATATGTGTACACATACACATGTGGATATAGGGACACATGATATTCATGCACGCACGTATAAGCATCTCTTGTATTTGGCAGAACGACGAACGTCGATATCTCGACAGAGAAGGTCGCTTTGTGCGGGCAACAACGCAAGTATCAGGTGAGGCTCCGTCTCTCGACGTCCTCCGGCATTTCTGTCGATTAATATATATATATATATATATATATATATATATATCCGATGTTTGCGCGCAAATGCACTCGCGTGAGTGGAAGCAAATCGCTTTTGGATATCACAAGCGTTGTCTTGTGCAACGAGAACGCTTAGAGCCTACAGCCTAGCCAAGCCGCGTCGTGCGTAATGAGACGGAGAGCTCTATAAATGGCTTCGAATCATACCGAGACGATTAAACAGTTCGTATATCCTCTGTGATTATCCAGCTGTTCATTCGTTTACACTTTGGGCGCGTTTGTCCTACGAACGGAGAGGGAAATATTAATCCTTTCAGCGGCGCGAACGATGCAGCGTGACATTAATGGCGAGGATTCTTGTTGTTCCTCTAGTAAAATCCCGGGATAATAGGGTATTTTTGTGCACTTTTTGAAAATTATTTCAATATTGAAGGAGAATTACGAATCATTTGGC